ATAGAAAAATCTTTAAAAATCTTCTTCTCAAGAACCACTGGGCCAGGAAAATGACTCATGTGGAATCATCCTCAGGTAGTGTAGATTCAAGTTTGTTCAAATCATGACCCCCGGGCCTATGGGGCCAAAATGGCCGACCCAAGTTTTATATAGGAATATATAGGAAAAAATAAAAATCTTTAATTTTATCATCCTCAGGTAGTGTAAATTCAAGTTTGTTCAAATCATGACCCCCGGGCCTAGGGTGGGGCCAAAATGGCCGACCCAAGTTTTACATAGGAATATATAGGAATCATTAAAAATCTTCTTCTCAAGAACCATTGGGCCAGAAAATCTGAAACTCATGTGAAATCATCCTCAGGTAGTGTAGATTCAAATTTCTTTAAATCATGACCCCCGGGCCTAGGGTGGGGCCAAAATGGCCGACCCAAGTTTTACATAGGAATATATAGGAAAAATCTTAAAAAATCAACTACACAAGTACAAATGGGCCAGGAAAGATGAAAATGTGGAATCATCCTCAGGTAGTGTAGATTCAAGTTTGTTCAAATCATATGGCCTAGGGTCCAAAATGGCCGACCCAAGTTTTACATAGGGATTTATAGGGAAACCTTTTAAAATATTTTTTCAAGTACTTCAAAGCTATGATTAGTGATATTAATATGGAATCAGCTTCAGGTAGTGTAGATTCTAGTTTGTTCAAATCATGAACCCCTAGGGGGGTTATAAATTATATAAACTTTCAGTTCTGATCTGATATGTGCTTTTTCCTAGCCAATGTGCTCAGGTGAGCGCTGTGGCCCCTGGGCCTCTTGTATTTGGTTTGATGTGTCCGTAATTTCCGAAGGGGTGCTCTGCTTTGCGTCGCGAGTTTTAATTTTCTTTCTTTATGTAATGTTTGATATTTATTAAAACATGCAAAAATAATAATAAGTAAGTGCTTGAATGAAATGACTAATACATCAAATTGAACTCTAATTTAGCAGAAATATAAGCTTAATTTGAAAATTTTGTAAATTTCCTTTATTTCCAGATTTTTTATATTTAAACACATGTTTTAAATACACTGTACATGTAAACTGTGAAATATAGAGATAATAAAGATAACCGGTATTCAAGCCCAAAGTCCATTTAAACAATACAAATTGGGAGTACAGTGCAATCACTGACCTCTAACACATCAGAGGTGGGATCAGTTGTCTCGTAGGAGTGAGCATCCCTGTCGAACAGACACATCATTTGTGTACTCATTGTCTTGATCAGTAAGGAAAAGTCCATAGATGATTCATTTGAATATGTAAATAATGGCCTAACAATTATGTACATGTAGTAATAAAAACTCCTTTGACTTAATAATACGAATGTAGGTTTATTTGCTGACAAGGTCATTGTATCAACCATAAAATTTGCGAAATGATGACTTTAAAGAGACTGTTGATATTCTTGTTTCATCAACTTGCTTGTCAATAATTTAACTCGTTTTAGAAATTGTTCATACGTACAGCATGCTTCTTTTTAATTTATGTAAATTTTACACTTTAAAGTGTAAATTTTACACTTTAAAGTGTAAATTTTACACTTTAAAGTGAGTAAATTTTACAGACATAAACCACAGATGCTGGTGATAAGGGTATACAATTTGCATCTTAACACATCCTCAATAACACTACATAAAATGTTAAAGGGGAGTTTACGATTAAAAAGTCATCCATATATTATTTATTAAAGTACAGATCTATATTAAGGGGGGAGGGGTCGATATATCGAAATGTCACTTTAGCTGAAAAGTTTTACTTTAATATACAAGTGCATTTGTTCTCATGTGTAGAAGTTTTTGAACAAACAAATAAATAATTTCTGATTAAAGTGTAAATTTTCGTATGAATACAGATTAAAGTGTAAAATGTATAGATAAAAGTGTAAAATTTACAGATTAAAGTGTAAATTTTACAGATGAAAGTGTAAATTTTACAGATTAATATGTAAAATTTACACTTTTATCTGTACATTTTACAGATTAATCTGTAAATTTTACAGATTATTCTGTAAATTTTACAGATTAATCTGTAAATTTTACAGATTAATCTGTAAATTTTACAGATTAAAGTGTAAAATTTACAGATTAAAGTGTAAAATACACCTAAAATTACCAGATTAAAATGTAAAATAGATTAAATAAATGTAAATTTTCAGATTAAAGTGTAAATTTTCAGATTAAAGTGTAGATTTTTTTAGCTCGTCAATAAAAAACCAGGTAAAATGAGTAAAATTTACACTTATGCTATATTTTACCCCCTACCCAGATTAAAGTGTAAATTTTACACTTTAAAGTGTCGAAATTAAAAAAAGTAAAGTGTGCAAGTGGCACTAATACGCTTCCGTATTACCTGTATAGAATATGAATTTTATTCCCGCCAATACAAAACCAAGAGCATTGGATATAAGGCATCTACTCCCCCCAGAGAGAATTGGATATAAGGCATCTAAGGAAGGAAACAGTTGTGGAAGCCCTACATGGAATTATGTTAAAGGATTTTTATTGTTTCAGTAACTATACCCGTGAAATACGAAAGTCCTAGCACACACTATTTTAAAAATATTTATGGCCTAGTCTTTTTAAGACACTACAGGTCAAACTACAAGGTCAAAAGGTAAAAATAATGAATTTAATCAGGGAAAGGCCTTAATTGTCATGAGAAATTAACAAGTGGAATATTAAAACCCTAGCTCTAATTGTTCAAAAGTTATGGCAAAAGTTAAAGTTCCTTTAAAATTTCTTTCAAAAGTGGATCAAACTCTAAGATGAAGGTCAAAAATATTTATATTTTTAGAAACATATGAGAAAGGTCGATCTTGTCACAGTAAAAACGCGTGTGAAGTACGAAAACTCTGTCACCAACTATAATTCAAAAATTATGACCAAGATTAAACTTTATTTTCATTTATTTTATTTATTTTTTGTTTTGTTTTTCAAAAGTGGGTCTAACTCCAAGGTCAATGTCAAATATGTTGATACCAAACGGAAGGCATCGTCATGTGAGGAACACACAAGTGAAATATGAAAGTCATAGTTCCAACCAATCAAAAGTTATGAGCAGGGTTAAAGTTTTTTCGTACAGACAAACAGGCTATTAGACAGACAGGGCAAAAACTATATTCCCCGAATCTTTGATTACGAGGGCATAAAAATCACGCAGTTATAACAAGCAAATTCAAAGAACTTTGGTGTCTGTGGTTGAGATGTCATTTTTATGGCATATTGTGTCAAATATGAATGTCCTATCACATGTCATTCAGAAGTTATCACCAAAGTTGATTTTTTTTTAAAAATTAGGCCAGTCATAAAGGTGAAGGTCAAGGGGTCAGAAATCATAGCTTCTCGGAAATATCTTGTTACAGGTAATGCACATGTCAAATATGAAATCCTTATCTCTTCTCAATCAAAAGTCATAAGGAAATATTAACATTTTTGAAAAGTAGGTCAACTTCAAAGTCAAGATAAAAAAATCTTAGCTTTTATTAAAAAAGGTCTTGTCACAAGCAATATACATGTTTAATATGAAAGCCCTATCTCTTCTCGTTCAAAAGTTATGCCCAATTAAAAGTAAATATGTTTAATTTTTTTAAAAGTAGGTCAAACTTCAAGGTCACGGGGTCAAACATCAGTATTTAGAAAAGTCTTGTAACAGATAAAACACATTTTTAATACGAAAGCCCTTTCTATTGTCTTTGAAAAGTTAAAATGGTCAATTTAAAGCTAGCTGCAGAACTGTAGCTCTGCTTCAAAAATTCGGAAAGATATGTTAAAATTTCGTAACAGTAGGTCAAGGTCACGGGGTAAAAAATTATAGTGTATTCAGAAAGGTCTTGTCACAGGTAATATACATGTATAAAATGAAAGCCATATCTCTTCCCATTCAAAAGTTATGACTAAATCAAAGTAATGTTTAATTTAGTGCAAACTTCAAGGTCAAGGGGTCAAAAATCATAACTTATAAAGAAAGGTCTTGTATCAGGTAATATACATGTGTAATAAAAAAGCCCTACTGAGTATCTCTTCTCATTCAAAAGATATGACCCATGTTAAAGTTTCTGTGACGAACGGACAGAACTAGAAACAGACAGACTTACAGACGAATGGGATTTAATGTCCCCTCGCTTTCGCGAAAGCGGGGGAAATAAATAGTTGCAAAATTAAACATGGTTCCATGAGCCACAACGTTTACCAGAGAGCCACCTTGGCTCTGTTGTTCTACAAAGATTCCCCCTTGTTGTACTTCGATTCCCTTTCAGTCCAATCGTATCTCTGAGAGAGGTATGATTTCTACGCTTCCAAATAAGTTTCAGCTTTTCTGACCAAGTGTTTCTTTTAGAAGATTTAAAGAATTTCTTGAGATTTTTCCTATATATATCTAAAGAGTAAACCTAAATGATTCATTGTGGCTCCACCTTTCCCCTGGGGGCCATGTTTTGAACAATTTAGAATCCACACTATCACAGGATGCTTCCACATGAGTTTCATCTTTTCTGGATCAGTGAGTTTTGAGAAAAGTTTTCACGTTTATTTCAATGGCCCCAACTGACTCCTGGGGGTTATTATTTCCACAATTTAGAATCTATACTAACCACACATGCTTCCACATACTCAGTAGATATGATCCTTTCAAACCCAGTGGTTCTTGATTAGATTTTTCCTACATATTACATCTAACTTTAAGTCCCTTTTCTGGCCCTACCCTTCCCCTGTGGGCATTGACTTGTACAACTTAGAATCTACATTACCCAAGGAGGCTTCCATATAAGTTTCATCTTTCCTTGCCCTGTGGTTCTTGAGAGGAAGACTTCTAAAGATTTCTCCTATACGATTCCCTATAATTTGATTCCCTACAAATGCGGCCCCATCCATATGGGGCAATTACTTCAACAATTTAGAATCTACACTGCCCTGGAAATCTTGAGATGCTTATTTAACTCGTTTTTTAAAAATTCTTCAGGACAAGTTATATTTTTCATTTTTTATTTCAGATAGTAAGGTCAATGCTTCATTTTATGAAGCACTGCATTACACAATTTTATTACATCCCCTTATAAATTTACATATTTACAAATACAAATGATGAAGTGGAATTAAAAATGCTTAGATTTTACATATATACATACACATGAACTGTACAAGCAGGTAATTCTCAGATGCAAGCATGACTTTAAATTATAACAAACAAGTCAACAATAAATAATAACAATACTCTTCCATTTACACAGAATCATCAACATACAATCTGCTTGCATTGGTTAAAGATTAAAGAAATTGGTGAATAATTTAATATACACATGTAAAACTTCTCCCAAACACAAATATCACATTGCAATGACAATCAAATGACAAGTCCTTTTTGTCATTAGTTTACACAACTCACAATCCAAACACAGTCAACCACACAGCAACATACCAGCACCATATTATTTACTGGATACTCAGGTTGATTGCTAGTATGTAAATAGAACCTCACATTCAACTTTCAACACACTGTGTAGAATTCATAAGAACTGGTCACCTAATATGATAGGAATGCATGTAAAGAAAATAATCTTATCACATAAACTTATCAGAATTTAACATCAGAATAACTACAGGTACATGTATTTAAAAAAATTGACTATGTATTCATCAACTTAAGATACTAGCAACATGTACTCCTTGTATTCTGAACAGCAATAAAATGATATGGATCAAATAAATCACTTGCAATACACTGAAACCATTTTCACTGTTACCTCGGACACCCAAGTCATGATCCAATTATGTCAGGTTAATGAAATATCCCCTTATTATGATAAACCCAACAGAATGCTTCGATGAAATTCCAGATGAATTAAATGCACAGATCCATAGACCTATGGTAATTAATTTTTTTTTTTACAATTTATAACGATGACAGAGATTCACAGCTTTTTTTGTGTACTGCATTCATCATGGCACCCATATGGACAGGACTTTTCACTCAGCTCATCACCAATTCAGGAATTCTACATGATCACTTTCACATTACACAAAAACTATCACTAGTCAATCTTCACAGTAGAATATATTTTCCGAACAAAGTAGCTGGTGCCGATATAACCAAATGTTCCTGAAATACAAAATGGTCGATTTCAAATTTTACTTTTTAAAGTCCATTTTAATGTTTAACTTGTATAAATCAGCAGATTAAGAAAGACAAGATTATTTTTTCATCTAAAGAAATAAGAATAAAGTAAAAACTTACCACACATTAATCCTAAAGCTAAGCTGAATAATGCCATGTAACCAAAGTAAAATGTGGTTTGAAAAAACCCATACATTCTGAAAATGACTAAATAACATTAATATTAAAACATTTAGGAAATTTTCAAACATCAATTGTGCTGAATGATAAAGAAATAAGACCTTCCATCAAGGGTTGGTCCTGACTTACTTTGTCTTAAAAAAGAAGTAATAAAATGAATAGAGGTACACATATCCTGCCGTGGATGCAGCAGCAGAGAAACTCGTCCATTGCCTGCAAAATATAACCATATTAAGAGAAGGGTTTATCAGGATATTTAAAAGTTAGTCAAATAGTTCTGGACTCTTGCACCTCTTTGAAATCTAAAATACCATGTTTAGTAAATAGAGGGTCACACTATTGTGAAAGTCACATCAAAATTTTAGTCAGTGGTAAAGCAACAGTTGAATGTTGAAGAGTGACATCCATGTTTGCTACACGAAATCTAAAGTATCTTTGTGATGGATGAGTAAATAAGTGTAAAATTGTACTATGATTCTCTGAAAATTTCATTTGCATTGAATGGCATATCTGAATACTTACCACCTATAGTCCTCCGCATTTAGTAAGAAGTATGTACACACAATGGTCACACAGACTGTCACTATAGTTAAGATAACAAACACTAGCAGCATAAAGCCATACACATAGTAAATCTTGTACGCCCAAAAAGAGGTGAAGATAAAGTACCTACAAATAAAATCAGTTCCTTTAATCATTTTAATCTCAATCATTTTTTCAGACCACAGAAAGTTTTCTTTGTTTTGTAACTCAGTTAAATGGAGAATTTTAAATTAATATTTCAGTAAAATGGAGGATTCTAAATTAATATTTCAGTAAAAGGGAGGATTCTAAATGAATATTAAAACATAAAAAAAACTTTTTTTTTTGAATATGTGGAACTTACATTTCAATAAATATGGATCCAAAAGGAAGAATTCCTCCTAAAACTATTATCACAGCTGGCTCCATGAACCTGGAAAAGAAAAGAGATAAAAATTTATTTCTTGGATTATAAATAAAATCTGACTTTGTAAGAAAACTGTTAAGGTTTTTTGAGATTTCCTTCTAACACTTATGAATTTCTTGAATGTTTTACCATTTCTTTTCAGGGATTGGTCTTGGCACAGCATTCACACGACATGGGTAGTTAGGCTGGCCTGCAAGATTTCTTCCCAATACGGTTCCCACCAAGGTCAAGGGTAGGATGACAAATATACATATACAGGTCACAGCCACCTGTCACCAGGTAAAACAAAATATTCATAATGAAATATAACATTGGGCATTAGAGAAATATGATCAGAAATATTTGATTAAATAAACCATGTAGATCGCCTTCTTGTTGGCAAGACTAACCAAGTGCAATAAAAGTTCATACAATTTTAATGATTTCCTATTTACCTGGACTATGTTTTGCTCTGTAGAGTTTAAATAAAATCATAAACTTACCATGGTTCCAAATGGAATGGCTCTGGAAGCATGATAGTAGATGGCAATGAAATTGATGAAGAAAGCAGTCCCACATACAGCTACCGGTAACATGAAGGCTCCTACCAGCATCTGCTTAATCCAGATCTTCCCTGTTTAAAGATCATCAATGATTTTTTATATTTTTTTGAAGAAATTAAATTCGGGCTAGGAAAGACTTCTATATTTTGAACATTTCTTACATTCTTTGATGACGAAATGAATTCCTACTTCTTTAAATTTTATATAGCTATTCATTTTTTTAATAAATGATTATAAATTTAATTTTGTTGATGCCTGGTAGATTTAGGATTACTGAAAAGACTTCAACATTTTTTTCATAGCAATACTAAATAATGCCCATTATTTACCTCCCATTCTTGCATACAAACTTCCCCCAAAGTATCCATTGACAGGTGAGGTGGCGGCATACACAAATATAGCTGTACTCAGCAGAGACCCTCTCCTACAAATTCAGTATTATTTATGAGATCAATTAGGCTTTAAAATATTTATTCATTCCTGTGTGTGCATCTCTTCTTCAGTGAATAATTTCCAATCAAAATAAAATCAGAAATCAGGGTTCAATATGATTTGTCATCATCAGAAGAACACACAGTCACTTAATGCATCTAAATACAAACTGAGCATATTGATCATAAAATAAATTCTCATTCTGGTGACTCAATATACTAACAGATTCTAAACAAGAATATCTTTCATAAACAGAAAAATATACAGTACAAGAAATTCAGTGGCTCAAATTCTTACATGTTCCGTCCATAGATTCTAATTTTTATATTTTAGCAAAAATTCAGTGTTCAATTTTTTTTTAATTTTTTGTGCAAATGACCTTAAGTGATTGGATAAATTAGAATGGGTATATAGTTTTCCTCTAATCATAACTGGTTCAGACAAGAAAATGAGAAAGTTAAAAATTTTGCTTAGGCATGTTAGAATTGCTATATTTTCGTTGCATATAATTCTGGGAAACTATACTTACTCAGTGTAGAGATCTCCCAGTATAGAGAAGATAATGACACACAGGGCAACGGTAGCGATGTGATACCCTGTACCAATCAGAGACGAGAACAGCAGGGGGTTAGAAGGAGGACGGAATACGTCTCCATGGACTTGTTTCCAGCCATATTCATCACCCAAGTCTTTCTCCTAAAAGGCAAAAATTTCTCATAAAGTCATGTTCTTTTCCTACTTTAAATATTTGTGTTAGAATTTAAATGAACTCGCTCTCTAGATCAGATCAATATTCCAATCAAGTAAGATCAGAAATCAGGGTTCAATGTAAGGTGGTCATCATTAGAGGAGTTACAGGCATATATGATGCTATCATTTTTTTTTTTTTAAAATTACGTAGCCATTTCAATTTCAGACACATTCCATTCTAACTTTTCCGAGCTCCACGTTCTGAGAACATACCATGTCATCTAGGTCCTCTTCTTTGCTGTATCTGGCGTAATCCTTCCGCAGTGTTCTCATCAGAATCATACTGACCAGTCCCACCAGGAAGATGACCATCATGAACGAGTTAAAGATGCTGAACCAGTGGATCTGAACAAGAACATCATAAAGGGTTCAAACTTTAAAACAAAAAGGACTTGAAAAATTTATACATTAAGTTGGAGAAAAATATATGAAATTCTGAGGGATTTCAAAATCAATATCTAAGCCAATCAATTTATTACATTATCTACTGTTCTTGTTAAGCACTGATATGGAAGCATCAGAAGATATATTTGCCAATCACTGGAATTCAGGATTAGATGGTACGTTATTTTCATCCTATGCTCCATGATACCTCATGACAATACCTCTACTCAGTGTACTCACCCTATGCTGGAAGAAGTTTGGATCCAAGTACTTGTCAAATCTTTTGTCAAACTTGATGTTGGATGGAGTAAAATGTACCTGAAATTAAAATACGAACAATGAAGCCCAAGAAAAAATAGTATTAAGCAATATTGCATATCTTAGCACGGTAAACATGTAAATTTTTAGTTACTTTATAAGTACACATATATCTATATATATATATATATATTTTTTTTTTATTTTTTTTTTTTTAAATATACATGTATATTTTCCCATTCTTTTGGATTAAATAGCTTTTAAAAACATATTAAAAGGAAGTTCTCAAACATGACTGTTGGAAAAAATATTCATTTTTTTTTCTTAGTGAATCCTTCATTTTTTTTTTTTTGGAATAAAAATCACTTTTGAATTTTGGCATATCCTTTGCCAGAATAGTCCACAATTCCAAAAATAGCCCCAAAAGTTCCCAGTTAGATTAACTAATCAAAGCTTGATGAACTTTGTACAACAAATTGGAGAGCAACTTGTGTGTAAATAATATGATTATCTCTTGTTTCAATAGCATCTGGTATTGAAGCAACTCCATCAAGTACTAATACAGTTACTGTTTATTCAATAGGTAGGCCTTGTAAATCATTCCCACATTCCAAAATGTCCATTGTTTTCTTAATAATCAATGGCCATTGTTTTTATTTAATAGAATTTGTTTTGACAACACTGTAATTATTCTCTGATAACTAAACTATCACAATCACCTCATAACTGAAGGAGATTTTGCTTCCCACAGAAAGCTTTTTCTTGGCCTCGCTGGTTAAGTTGACATCTACGATCTGTTTGCCATTATAACCAATATCAAACTTTTTGTGTGTCCAGATATAATATTCATCTTTATTCTCTCCAATCTCTCCGACAATACCTTTTCAAAATAAAAATAGTTTGATTTTTCTTCCACAATGCAAAATTAGAAAACTTATTAAATAGAATGCTCCATTTTATCTCTGAAAGTACTAAAAAATGGATACCATTAATTTGTTATCTTCAGTCAGTAACATAAACTTTCAACAAGAACCCTCTAAGCATTACTATGTTGGTGACAAGATTAAATTCTTGATGTCCTGTTTTACTTTAGATTCAGTAAATTTTATGTAATTACCCCAGATTGGGAGATCATCGATATACATCTGGTACCAGTAGTGGTTCCTGACAGCATACACGAAGGCCTGGTACTTCTCCTCTGTCAGTTCTACTGTACAGTACTCGGTCTTCTTTACCTCACCTACAAATACAACCAGATTTCTAAAAATTTGCAGTCGACACTTATATAGTTGATATCGTCTTTGTTCAACATCAAAACATTAACTTAAACATGGTTTCACAAGGTCTTACTTTTCCTTTCATATTGAATATTTGGACCGAAAACACTTTTCAAGAACTATGAAAGTTTAAAAAAAAAAGGTATAAATTAAATTATGTTGCAAACCTTTAAAATCTATGTCCAGTCCACTGAACTCGAGTTCTGTCCCCTGAAGTGCTTCTCCCAGTGTCTCGTGGTAATGACCAATACTCTCCTTTGGCCCAGCACAGAAAGGCAGGGAAAAGTAGGAGTAGGTTTCTTGTCTGTTGTGATAGGGGCCGACAGTGTTCATCCATAATACCACCTCCTCCCCATCTTCATACTACAAAAAAAAAAAAATTATTATTAATAATAATCAACAATTTTCAAGCACAAAATATGTTATAATTAGTTGCTTTTTTCATACCATTATGTGCTATGCATAAGTCTGTAAAAGATTGTCAATTAATAAAAGCTAACTAAAGCATTGTGTCCAATTCCAAATTGTTGGTAATCAAGATGAAATCCCACAAAAAGATTGGACTTAGTTGTATAATCCAAGTTTTTGTATATAAGAAAGTGTCAATTTTTATATGACAATTTACAGCAATTATTTGTAGCAGTTCAATCTAAAACCTGTTTTCAGATAATTTATCTTTAAGAAATTTTTCCTGCATGTTCTTTGATTAAGCTCTGTATCAAAGTGTAGCATGCTTCCAGCATGTCCAACCAGCTGAAAACATTGCATTAAAATTTTAGTTACTGATAAATTCAATGAATTGTGTTAAAGTATTATTTCTTATTGATCCTAGTATATGATGTCTAACAGTCATCTGAAATTGATCATTTTAAAATTCAAGTTTTTTTGTTAAATATAAGAAATCTAGGTTTATATAATTGAAAATATGTAGAGGAAAGTATTGGTGTTTGTAGCATAATCAGTTATGTGCATTCTGCAAACCTCGCTGATTCCGTCACCTTCACCTAACCTCAGCTGTACGACTCAAGTTTATAATATATACATCTTTGCCTAACATTTGTGATATGGCTGCCTATTTACAGCTTGGGGAAAACCTAAATACTTTGAAAACAATAATAAAGAAGCACCTGACATTCACAAACCATACAAATCTTCAAGAACAGTCAGGTAACAATAACATTTATCAAGAAACATGCATTTAGTATCTTTATATAATCATGTTTCTTTAAGGATTAAATTCAGCACACTGTGCAGGTAATAGGGCACAATAATATTGCCTATATAGTAGCCCTACTCAATGGTGGTCTACAATACAGCCAAGGTTAGATGGCAGGGCTCTCGATTCTCTAAAATTGGGGCCGTTCAACGGCCCCGTTCCCAATGCAAAAAAGGTACCTTTTTTCCCAAAAGAAAGGTGTAAATTTCCCAATTTCCATCCAGAGTAAAATATTAATTAAAAAAACCTAATCGCAAAAAAAAAAAACCCAAACAAAACACATTTGCAAATGAAAGTGAAACTGTACTACTATTTTATCAGTTCGCACCAAATGTATTCGTAAACTGGTTCGGGGAACCAGGTTATTGTTTTTACAAAAATGTATACAACTATGAGTGCAGAGTATCTTGTTATGTAGTTTCGACAAAAACCAGCATTTTTGTTTCAAAAATAGACATTTCATTTAAACATTAGTAAGCTGCACCTAGAAACATACCCGCGCTTCGGCATGTTCAGTCTCGCGCTGTATTGGTAAGCAAAGTTGCCCATGTGATCGAGGAAATTCGGGACTATGTGTCTAGCGACTGTCACGCAGTAAGACATATAACCGCAATATCAACACTCAAAGATAGTAATGACAAAGCTAATGTACATGTACTTTCATAAATAGCCTACATACCCATGTTTGTTCTGTTTAACTGTTTATTCAAACCAGAGTTAGCATTGATGATAAAATGCTAGAAAAGCAAAATTTGAGGATTTTTTAAAAATGAATTTGTGTTATCCAACTTTTCCCAAAATGACGATAATTTTCCCAATTTGAATGGCCCCGGCCCCAGTCCCAAAAAGTGGTGTGAGAGCCCTGGATGGTGTACAATTCAGCCAAGGTGTGCCGAGTGCAGTACACTGTAATATGTTGGACTGGTTTTCAAGTTTATCTAGGATGGGTTCTTGCACATTTTCTGATGTAAAATCACTCTGCACAACTTTGGCATATTGTGCTTATGCTATATGAATCCTTAGAACACCTAGCGAAAACAGCTTGGTATTAGAGACTCTATGACAGGAAGCTTGTCTGTTTTCCATCTTAGCAACTTGAATGTGGATAGAATGTCATTCGTGACCCACCAAAAAATCATCATGGCTTATGGGTACCAAGTACGAAGAACTCTCTATCCAATTGAATTATGCTATAGTGACGTTATAGTGAATTGGCAATTCACTATAACGTCACTATAGCATAGACTACTTATACACCCATCGTCATCACACTTACACGGGATCCAGAAACCTTACGCCGTACCAAAATTTTTTACACCAAGAACATTAATTTGTTGTCAAGCTGACATGTAGTCGTTCATGGAACACACATATGAGAGTGGATCTAGAGTTTGATCTTTACAAGACACTTTGATATTTATTCTATCTCATTGCTTTCAAACTGTAACCCACCATTTCAACTGTGAACAGAAAACTGCATAGAAAAGAGGCCTTTTTCACTGAAGTTTACCGGTTTGTGCAATAAATGCTTACCACATGATCGTGTTCGTCAGCTAAAATGCAGATGAATAGAAAGAAAAATATTTTTGAAACATTTTTCAGCATTTTGAAACTCTGATCAGCTCTGGATGGTCTCCAAATGATCAGATTTTAGACGATATTTTCTACTATGTTGATCGTCGTTAGATTCCAATATGGCTACCACGGAAGAGCCACGTCATATGGGAAGGGAGGTAATTCTATTTTAGAAGATGGAATATTTTTTGACAAAATGCAGTGAATCATAACATGCATAATGAATATTCGTTTTTATCTTTGAAAACACAGGGTTCATTATAACAAAATAACTCAGGGGAAAGGAGTTAACAATGTAATTCTTAATCTATATTGCGAAGTTAAATGTGATATGCATATTGATAAATTTTAAAGGTTTGTGTTAAAATTAAAAAAAAAAAAATCAATCAGTGATCGAATTCCATTATCAGCCGTGTTTCATTCTTTGAAAATTATGATTTCTAATGATGAAATGTATTAAAGTGCTTCGTTTATTAAAGGAAAATGTATAGGTAACTTTTCAATAAATAAAAAAAATAACGTTCTTAAACCCTTAATTATTTTAAAATAAAACAAAATCACTCGTGAAGAAATGTTTTTGTGACATTTTTAGAAATTGTTCCGATTAAATTAGTTTTGTGGTACCATTCTGAGAAATGATTTTTGAATGTTTAAAAATAAATATATTTATATACAACATCGCGTGGTGAAAACATTACGAAAAGGTTGTTTTAACAATTGATTCAAACTATTTTGGTTATTTTTTTATTAACCTTTTTAAAAGATATATAAAAATTCACCCGATTATTACATTTGTGAAAATGTCTTTGTAACATTTTAAAAATGTACTTGAAGAAATTCTTTCACAAACTTTTTTTCTGTCACTTATATTTTGCTACTAGACAAGTAAACATTGTATATTTGGATAATCTGTGTTTGAGAGGGTGTGTGTGTGTGTGTGTGTGTGGGGGGGGGGTTATGTTATTCATTATTACCATATTAACTATTAAAATATATTTAATCCCTGATTATTTAATTTCTTTTGCTTTTAAGCAACATATCGTTATCTGTTAGAATATTTTGTTTTATTATGCATATATATATATTTTTTTTTATTTCAGCAGTTATTACAACATATAAATCATTTTTAAAAGGTTTGTATTTATTATACTCATGTGATTGTTAATTCCTTTATATGTATCTAAAAATTCTTTATTTGTTAAAGTATAAATTTTTATTAGCAATAATATTAAAAAAGTCATCTCTATCATGCTTATATAATGGACATTCTACCATCTCCACACCTGTTCATTTACGTGGTTTGCTATGTGATCAATTCTGAGGTTATGTGAACTCACTCTAAATTTGCATATAATGTACTTTTCAATTTCAAAACTTCTTTTTATATAGAAATATGTTGTAATCCCAGAACCATCTCTTTGTTTAAACCAATATTGGGAATAATGAATTATAAAATTTTAATATATGTTACATTTGAAAACCAACTATATTCAAAATGCTTTCTTTGTACACTGTATAACAAAGAGTTTTCAGGCATGTTTTCCATGCCAATAGTTTGACTGATAAATTTGCAAAATTTTATGATTTTCAATCTCCCAATCTTTAAATATATCAAATAAACAAGACATAGAGAACATGTGATCAAATAGATGAAAGTAACAGTTTTAATTTGGTTGTATATTTTTGGTTATATAAATTAAGGTTACTATATTAATACCAGAAGAATCTGAAAATCATTCAATGTTTTAATAGACAATGTATTTGCTTTTTGATGCGAGATCATTTAAGAATATTTTGAATATACGCTTAAGAACAGTCTTACTCCTAGTTCAGGTGAGAATAAACATTTTTACAATAGGCCGAATGAGTTACAACCCGTTAGAGCACGCAGCACTTGGGTGTTTGCACCGGTCGACAGAGGTAATGCATACTCCTCCATGACACCTGGTCCAACCCATGATGGTTTTAGAGTTGTAAATTTTGTATTTATTGCCAACCGGTAAATTCAAAATTTACATTATGACAATTAATGCTCTAAATTTGTGTAATTTTTATATAGATGTAGTACTTGTAATGCAAACGAACATATACAACAATACTAAAAAAGTTGAGGTTTGGTAAATTTGGATTTACTAGGAAGTTTAACAATATTTCATCAGACTTTTAGAAAAATAATCTCGACCAAAGGATTTCCTGTCATGAGATTTTATCAATCTATATAATAGTTGTATAATTTTGTGTGAAATAGAACGCAAAAACTTTTATCACTTCAAGTGGTGTTGGGAGTCTATTAATTTGAATTTAAGGAAATAGACGCATTCTAAGATAAATACTACAATAACAGGACTATTTAATATCTCTACACCTGATGTTGTGAATGATTTAAAATCCTATAATAATCAAGCCTTAAATAATTTTGATTTAAGTGTAGTATGCAGGGCTCTAAAATTACACTAAGAAGATAGAAACAAGTCTTAAGTTGATTATTTTCTCATTATTAATAATCTATTATTTAAAAAAAAAAAGAACACAGTTCACTATTTCCACTATTATATAGGAGATCATGATCTATTTTCCACGAAATTTCAGAGGAGACTGAACGAAGCTCAGGAGAATGGACAATGAATGTTCAATACATTTTTATCGAAATCTCCACAAAAATTTGAACAGACTTTTGAAACCATCACAGAGTTGAGTTTCCAAAAATAGGGACAAAGTACATAGATAAAATGAAATAAATCTGTATTGAAATACCCAAATAATTTCATACTAAATAAAATAAAATATAAAAGAGCTAGAAAAAGAAAAAAAGAGCAGAGCAAACAGGGCATCTATAAAACATCAGAGATGGAATCAGCTGCCATGGGAGAGTGAGCGTCCCTAGCAGACCAGCGATGCCTCACCAGCCGTGTGCTCCATGTCATGATCGGAAAATAACGGAAACAATTCAGTGTGTAAGTAATGGTCTAACAATCAATATGAAAAAGTCCATCAAAATTTGATTTAATGAAAATGTTTTTGCTGACAAGGTTATTTTGCCGACCACAGAACATATGCATTTGGATAATGCTGTCTTGAAACGAGTCTATTGAAATTCTTTTTTCATCAACTCAGCAATAATCCAACCTTTTTTTTTTAATTTTAAAAATTGTTCAAACGTAGAGCAAGCTCTTGCGTATAGAATCAACTAGGAGATCAACACATTCACCCCGTATGTAGGTGATAAGGGTACATTGCAACACAAATAAGGAAAAGCGATGAAAGGAAAATTGAAGTCATCACATTTATTACTAATCTCTGTTGTTAGATTAGCAGTAATGACTTGTAAAATATCCAAATACTAAAACATTAATCTCTGGTATTTTTAATGAAATATATCGAGTCCAGTGTGATTAGATCAGATTAAATCAGATATTTTTTACCTTCCGAAATTCAAATGGTCGCTGAGGATTTCGGAGCGTAACAAAGATTTGATTTAATCAGATTGTATGGAGTCCACATAAGAATGGAAGTAACTATACTTGTTACTTGATAATACGTCGGCTGTATATCAAATGTCGAGATGAAAGCCACAGCAAGTATTTTATTCTTCTCATGTATGTTTTATTGTATGTGACACAAACAAAGGGTATATAAAATAAAGTATAATAAAGTTATAATATGTATAGCATGTACATATTTATTAAACAAATAAAATCGATAATGTACACAATAACTCCGTCTTTCGTAACAAAACTATGAGTATTAGCTGGGGTTCAGTTGAGTCCCTTTCTCAGCTGTTAACATAGAGTTCCTCTGTTTTCTGTTCATTGACGTATAAATCCTCAGTTGGTTCTTCATCACTTTCCTCTTCAAGGCGTTCAAGAAGCTCTGTTCTAAAACCAGTTTCTAAAGCACTAAGTAGAAACTGATGCTCCTTCTGAAATCAAAAATATACTTGTGTCTATTTGTAACATAAATATACAGATATAACGTCACAATAGCTATCTCTTGAATATCAATTTATTTACATGTAGATGACTGAATTTCTTATTATCATTTTTACCCGTATAATCAAAAACAAATACCCCCCCCCCCCCCTGTTTTGAAAATTATAAACATTTTATGCAAGGAAACATATGGAGAAAACGAACAGCACCCAACATCAAAAGTCCATATTAAAAACAAAACAAAATAAGAGCAGAGGAAACATGGACCTCCAAAACATCGGAGGTTGGATTCGGTGTGTAAATAATGGACTAACAATTAGTATGAAAACGTCAGTCAGCATTTGACTCAATGATAAAAAGTATTTGCTGAAAAGGTCATTGTATCGATCATAGAACTTACGAAATGATGACTTTAAACGTGACTGCTGAAATTCTTGTTCCGTTAACTTGTTTGTCAATAATTTACCTCGTTTTAGAAATTGTCTATACGTAGAGAATGCCGTTGCATCTCGAATCAACTGAGATATACCGGTATAAACTCCGTATGCATGTGATGAAGGTATATTGCTGCATAAGTACCAGGAAGTTGACGATAGAAAAGTTAAAGTCATCATGTCTATCATAGAGCTTGATTGTAAGATTACCATTTACTGTAACGTCTTTTCAAGTAAAATATATTATTATTATTATTATTATTATTATTATTAAACATTTATAAAGCGCCCTATATTAAAACTCTAAGGCGCTGTACAAGCATAAAATGTAAAACAAATAAAACTTTAAAATTTACAACGGTCATATTCGAAAATTATAAGATAAATATATATGAAAATTTTAAAGTATTCAAATTTCATATGTAGTTTATTTCAATTAGTATATGAAATATGAAGATAACAGATAGCAATCAAGCTCAACAATCAATTGAAACAGAACAAAAGGGCATCAGAGCAAACATGGACATCTGAAAACGATCAAAGGTGGGATCAGGTGTCATGAAGGAGCGACCACACCCGCCACAGTTAACAATTAAATTACTGCATCATTTTGTAAATAAAATAACTATTTTCTCCCCAATTACATCATTTTCTTTTATGTTAATGATACAGATTCTTTCTCCTACCCTGTCTCTCAGTATATAGGGTCTCTGGGACCTCATTTTGACCAGGCAGTCCATGATGTCTATAGAGTCCTCTCTGAGGCCCTGTTTGAGGAGGTAGTCGAGTGCTATGTAGATACCCATCCTGCTGATACCAGGGCTGTAACGTAAATCAAAAACATACTGTTAGGATACTGTTAGGGTGTTATTAACCCTATGCTAAGAATCTTCAAATTAAGGTAAATGTAGGGGAATGAGCAATGCGAGTTTTTTCCAATATAAATAAGTTTAGAAAACACCGGTTACATCATTATATTAATTCAGAAAACATTGAAACTTGAGGGGCTAACAGTTAAACACAATTTTGGAGGTTCTGAAAGTTTAAAAAGTGTTCTCAACTCACCCTGAGTGAATGATTACAGGTACGTTTTCTGAAGACACAAATGAATTGACATGTGTTCTTAGCCGAAGCAAGGTGTTAATTCTTTTGTGTCTTTTTGCTTCTCCCCATGAGGTATATTGGAAGTGAACCAATCTTCTGGTCTCTTCATTCTTTTATGAAAAATAAATTCATATAAATATTATCTTAAAAGTGTGCAAAAAAGTTGCTCAATATTGAAAAATGTCTGTATTAATTTAAATGAGTTGCCAGTTTAGCCTTAGGTATAGTCAGACCTTTCACCAAAGGTTTAGTATTTAATCAAAAATGAACCCCCGAAAAATTGATAAAATTAACAATCTGGATATAGTGAACATATTTAACTTTAAGAACGTCTTATTTTTTATTTTTGTTTACCTTTCTGATTAAGATTTTTCTCAGTAAGTAGTCATCAAACGTTTCCGTATTTTGTATCAGGATAAAGAAAGGACCAAAATCCCCAGATTCGTCGGGCCAGTACTTAGAACATTTTTTCTATATTGAATATGAATAAACTGCCATTTACAAAGATTGTTATTTTTATATTTAATTATTCATTATATAATACAATGACACCAAAATGAAAACAAACAAGCTAAAACAATTTGCATAACGTTGGATCGCAATTACAAAATAAGTTTTGAACTTCTCAGAAAGGTCTAATTAAAAGTAGAAATTTTTATCAATATTAACATGATATGAAATTAGAAATGATTTATGGAGCTTTGCAAAGAACCTTGAAGCACATCGAGAGGCATATAATGAAAATTGTTGCATAAAAATATTTAATTTTCAAGCTTCATTTAAAGACTTTTTGAATTAAATTATAAATTAAAGAGTTGTCCTTCCTGGCTGAGGGTCGGAGTTCCTTAATATAAAGAAAAACATGAAGAATTGGGTATCCTTCCGTTATAACTATTTGACTAATGTCGAAATGTTTTATCAAAGAAAGGAAAAAAGTTACTCCTAAATCCTGAAGTATTTATAATATTTTATATACGAAATATGTATAACATTATTTCCAGGTAATTAATGTTCATGTAAAACACTTTACCTTTTCTCCCTCTCTCAGCGCCGCTAACATCACTACACATTTACAGTTAGTCTGCCACACCATTCTCCAGAAATCCAGAATAGTATCTGGTGTAACTGGACCTAACAAGGGCCCAGTGGTTATATTTATTAGTAACAAAATGATAAAATAGTTGAAGCTGCTATTAACTTTTTTTTTAATTACATATAATATACTTACATTAGTAAAATAATATTACCTTATAAAAATTGTGTTTGTGTCAAAAACACTCACCTAAAGTGAGGATATACGCCTTTTCCTTTCTATAAGACTACAATATTACAAGAAATTTTAGAAAGTAATAATCACACATTTCAGTGTCTATTTGATCTTTTAATGACTGTTATCTCTTAAAAGCAGAACGTTTTACCGAAATATAGCTCGCGTTGATATAATCGCTCTGATCCTGAACATCATCCTGGGTTTCCAGAACAACACGATTCCGGTCATCTAGGGAAGAGAAAAAAGAAGGCTTCAAAAACCTTTGATAAATCTTACATAGGTATTTGTGAACCTAGCAAAATCCAAAGTTTTACTACAGTAACACCAATCATTGCAAGTTGTTGCTATTTTCTAAATACAAATTAGCCAAGTAATATTTTGTTATAATTGATCTTACATGGAAGCAATGTTGTGGATCTATTTTTAGGTTTATTTTCCTCCTTTTCTGCCTCAAAACATCTCCCCATCAGCCAACCCGGAAGACTCTGTAAAGCAAAATTCTCCCTCAGGAACATATAACTTCTCAATGGCTTCAGTTTCAAGGTAATGACTTTACATTCTTTATAATTTTTATATGCTAAGGGCACTTATAATTCAATGGACTGTCATGCAGATTTTCAAACTTCCTGTATGAATTTTAAAGGCGGATTCCGCCTGGAATTTGGGTGTAATTGAGCAGGAATTGGCAAATTCCGGGCGTACTTGAGGTGGAGACGGAATTTTCAAAGAGTTACGCCTCAGTAGAAGAGACGTCTTACAGGCGTCATTTGTAATTTCCGGGCGTCAATTGGCAAGTTCAGATTTTCCGGGCGTAAAATGGCAGGAAAATAGATCGAAACAAAAATTACGCCTGGAACTTTCAGGAGAAGTAAAAGCCTCTGATTGGTCAATTTAATTATCAATTAAGGGTCATTTTAGATAGGAGGTTAAGTTTGAATTTGATCATGAAGGAGGGAGTTTAGTGTGAGTGAAACAGGAAATGCAGATATCTCAATGTTAAGGCTTTTACACTTCTTGAGGATGACACAGTGTCTGCTGGTAGGTGTGATCATGAATATCTAATACCTATTTGAGTAAATTTGATTATGATTATGTACAATGATAGTTATAACTGGTTGACCCTAAAATTACTTTAGATGTTTGAGTTTGTCCTTGCACACATTCTGAGAAATATCAGTCTGATAGAGGCTGCAGTGAGAATCTAACTGTAAACTGCTGAGTAAATGAAGAATTGTATTCAGTCAGTAACTAAAATGTTTCAATATAATTATTGAAGTGATAAAATGTACAGGTATTGTAAAAAAGTTTAATTCTAAATACACACTCAATCATGGTGGTTGTGTTTTAGTGTCCCTAATACACAAAATTCATGTTATTTTTCTATACTTGTTAATGATATATGTTAATGACCTGTCATTATGTTTTCTTACAGTTCAAAAAGCTAAATTTTTAGCTTTAACATTGTAAATTATAATCTGAATGTTTTTCTTTGTTAACATGGTAAATATATAGGTTTTTAGGTCACATAGTATTATATAATAATAAGGACATTCCAGGCCTAATTCCATTCCAGGCGTCATTTTAGTTTCCAGGCGTAATTTTTTTACGGGCGTCATTTATTTTTCCGGGCGTAGCTCATTTGCATTTTTCGCCTCAAATTCCTGCCCATTTACGCTTGGTTTCCGCCTAAGTTACGCCCGGAACCTGTGTATCACCATATATGTAGAGAGACAAATTGACGCCTCTCTAATGCCCTGTTCACACGGAGAGTTTAATTCGAATTAAACGTAAGTTTACTGCGAATTAGCTTCGCTTAGCATTCACACGGAGAATTTAATGCGAATTAGTTTACTTCGCATTAGTTTACTGCGCATTAAATTACTTCGCATTAGCTCCGTGTGAACGCTAAGCGAAGCTAATTCGAAAATTTGACGCATGCGTAATGGCAAAATTAAGTCAAATGCGTCATGTTGGTACTTGAAGTGTTTGTGCTATTTTTGAGTGAATATCTAAGAAAAAATGTGTTAATCACTAAAATATGTCTCCAGACACTGTGACATTATGTCAAATGCATCTGCTTCTGCATAAGGTGACGTGATTTACAAATGACGTCATAATAGCCTTCCTGACGCCAGACTGTCGAAGTAAAATTTTAATTCGCATTAGTTTGCTTCGCATTAGCTGTCGTGTGAACGCAATTCAATTCGCATTAGTTTGATTCGCATTAGTTTACTTCGCATTAATTTACTGCGAATTAAATTCTCCGTGTGAACAAGGCATAAGTACGCCTCAATTCCCCCTATATTCCAGGCGGAACATTTCGTACAGGTTATTGAAAATCTCTCATTATGTCCAAAATTCTTTATACTTCATGCATGCATTAGTTTACCCCCAGGTCTTTCAACAGAGTTTCCACGTTTTGCCTCTCTTTCATGTACTTGATAAATTCGACTGGGGACATTTTGATTGTATTCTGGCCATCAATCATATGGACGTACTCCACCGGACAATCGCTGAGAGGAGAAGGAGGAACTTGTTGGTCATTAGAACTTGGAAGAGCCACATTTCGATTGGTTGTCGAATACGTCACAATGACGTCATCTGGACGAGGCTGTTTTGGCTTCTTAAGCAGTTTGAATATTTTTTTTCGTCTGAAAAAAAAGAACCCGGGTAAAACTAAAACGTTTTTATTTCTATTATGAAAATAACAGTACACTGTATCCTAAATTACTTAAGTTTGTAAATTTTAACTGTTTGATCACGAAAATATATGGGGATAACATTTAAAATTATATTTGCTCAATATAATGATACATGTATTGATGTTAAATGCTAGTATTATGGAAGTATTTGTTATAAAGTTGTTATTCCTAAGAACGAGGGCGCTTTTGATTGGCATTCGACAGGAATCTGGGCGTTATTGAAAAGTGAAAATTTTATCGACATGTCAAATGAAATTTTAACATTTTTTTTTTTATTTTTCGGGCTCCTGTGCAACAGGAAAGGAAAATATTTTCCCTAAATTGAACTTTGATTTGCTAAAAAAAATAATTTGAAAATTGGCCAGATCAGACATTTGGTACAAAATGGTACATTTCTAAACACGAATTTCTAAAATTTTCTATCTCTGGGTCTTTTCTCCATGATTTAAAAACGTTATTTGTTTGTATTTTAATTCAAAGAAACGAATACAAATTTTTAAAAAATGGAGAGAAGACCCAGCGACCACGAAAAATGAACTCTTCCCCCCAAAATTCTAATGTGTGAATGTGGTGCTTATTTTTCCTTTTAAAATCATCATTATTTGAGTAGCGGTGATAGCTCAGTAAGTTGGGCTACCTGTTACGTGCACTCGATGCGTTAAGTTTTGGTTCGAGCCTTGCATGGGACGTTAAATTTTTTTTTTCATGCAAACAACCATTTATTTTGTCTGTTTCGTTTTATGTACTGATGTATTAAAATTTTGAATTCGATAAATTTTTGTTCAGTTTGGTTCTCGAGCGAAATCAATTCCAATCTTTTATTCTGTAATGTACATGTACACGTACCATGCATCTTTGCATTAAATAATTTTTTTGTGAAACATGCATTACTATGTTATAGTACCCCCTATAGGAAAAACGGACAAAATGTTACAATCTCACAAAGTCTCAAACTAAATGAAAAAAACCTACGGATGTGTTTGTAAAATCTGACCAGCTATGTTCAGCCAACCAAATCATGGACATTTAAACCATAAATGTTTCGTACAAATGATTCCTGCAGATCACACGCTAAATGCGCCCATCTTCTTTGAAATGCTGCAGTACATGTAAAGATTACATTAGAAAAAACGTTTCTTGGACTTACCGCTTTACGATGATCCCAATGATAACGACAGCAATCAAAACCAGACAAAGGAAGAAAACCACTATGATCACCACATTCTCTAAAACACATAAAAGAATCCCATGTGCCAAGATGCTAGATTTATGTTCGATATATTTTTATTATCTTTAATGAAAGCCCTTCCTGCAGCATTAAAGTAGAAATGTTTGAAAGTGAAACCCCTTACTAGTATCGTCAGTCCGTGTTCAGTATTCTGTACAGAGTTTAACAAATTGAATACACCCGTGAAACATAAACTGTTTTTGTAAACAGGACACGAGCTCTATTATTGTCAATGTTTACGATTCACCGATGCAATTGTAAAAGTCTGAACTCACCACTGAGCACGGACTTACAATATACTGTGAGAGCGTTTTCCTTTCGAACATTTTTACTCTGAATTTTCTACATTATGGTTTTAATATTTTTCATTGATACACAACAAAATTGCCACTTTTCTTAAGTATCAAGAATAAAATTATAATTTGTGAAAGTGCAAGGACGTGTCAATCAAACCAGATCAGAAATTCGAAGTTTCAATAATTTCGAGATGAAATAAGATTTTTATTATATTTTCTTGTGAAATGATAATGCAATACCGTAATATTAAACAGAAAATTTGAGTTACTTCAAATCTGTGTCTATGCACCCTTAAAATGTTGATAAATAAAATTCCAATAACTTTGCCAATACAATTGCATCTATGAGGGCTAGTAGGGTAAACTTGGCAGACAAAGTATTTTGTATTAAGGACATCAACTAAAATTCATATGAAATCAAAAGTAATAAATAAACATTCTGGTCTTAGTGATCTACACAAACCTTTCGTGCATTTGCCTTGTTCTCTGTCACAGGTGTCATCTGAACAGAAATGATGACATTTTCTATGACACATTCTACCAAAGTGGCGAGTTTTACAAGAAGTACAAGTCCCGTCCACTTTGGAGCAGCCATCTTTACAGTTTTGATGGCATGGCGTACAGGAAAATCCATGAGTGTCTTCAGGGCATGCTAAAAAGGAAAATACTCATTGATGATATTCACTATACAGATGTATCATTTCTCATCATTGCTTGTTTGGTTGATTAGATGTAGGAAAACTTTATATATAATTTCTTTCAATTAAGAACTATTTACATTTTATTTTCACATTTTTTCAATCGCATATTATTATCCATACCAACTGGTCTAACTTCAGTGAGGATGAAAGGCCCATCTCCACTTCTCAGCACTGTTATTGTGTTGCCCTCCAACTCATGTATACACGAAGTATTTTGGTGAACAAAATCATAAGAGGGTGGGGTTATAATTCTTTTACATAAATATCGTTGGTCAGTCGTTGTACCATTACCGATATACACATTATAATCACCTGAAAGGCCGCACAACGACATTTCAAAATGTTATCACATGGCTTTATTGTACATTTTTCACAAAATAATGTTACAAAGCTTTATGTAATGTTGTTTTGAACAGATTTTTAAATACTGAATGTGAACTGGTTATCTCATTGACAATAATTAACAAATGTAGGATATAAAATGAACTTTTGATTATACCCATTGCTAAAATAAAGAAAAAGGCATATATCTTCAGAGTAGTATTACCCTTTCCTACGACTATAAAAATCCAGCGGATTTTCAGTGATGCATTGAATGTTCCCCACCAAAATTGGTCGGAACCATTATCAATTCGAGCTGATGTGAATAAATTTTTGTCCACTGCTTTGTAGGGCCCACTGCTGTCACTTGACGTAAAACTCAGACCAACATCGGTAAAAACGATGTTATAACCTAATAAGTAAATAATTTGTATTTGTTATAGAAAACAAGCTTCAAAAGAAAAGCATAAAAAATGTAGAATATCTATCAACAAGATAACCATGAAGAGTTTAATATAGAGAGGTGATCGTATCAGATCATCAATATTAACTAGAATTAGACATGATTGCAAACATTGCGGAAGAAAATATCTCGTGCATATTTCTGTTCGTGTCCGATTAACATTTTTGTTTAAATAATCACAAATACTATTTTTTGTGACAAATATTAAAAGAAAAAGGAATAACTAAAAATTAAAGTAGACGTACTTACATTGCACAGAGTATAATAAGCCTAAAAGTTGGATTACAATCGAGCTCATTTTAGAAAATCAGGGATTATAAACCAGGAAATAGATTTGTGCTCATAAAAATTACCTACGCTAAAATTAAACAAAACACATACAATGTATTATGAAATCCTTTTGAATTTTTGGAATCCAATATTTCAATATTGCTGTTAACAAAGTATTCAGATTGCTTTTATTTACATGTATATGTATATAATATATTTATCAAATGCATTTCAATTATTTCATCTTTTGTACTTTTTTGAATTTTGAAATTTTGAAATTGATTTTGAAAATATGCTGGAGTTCTTTGATGACAAAATCTATATTACTTTGAAGACCAGATCTTCCAATGACATTGCCTTCTTATATAAGCCAACCTATCTTTGAACCTGATATTCATACACGGCAGAATTTATTTTAGAAATCTACAAGAAAGAAAAAATACAGTTGTTGTGGCCTTTAAGTTGTCATTAAGATACATTGACGACGTTTTATATGAATTACATTCATATATCATTTTCATACATTCAAGAGAACTCGAAACTAACAACTGATACATATTTTGTTGTTTTACTGACACAGATGCTAATGGACAGCTAATAACTAAACTGAATGACAACTGGAATTAATTCAGCTTTTCAATGGCCAACTTCCCTTTATGTCATCGCCTGCATATAGTGTTTACGTCTCGTGTCTCCGAACATAATTGAAACGCAAAAAGCTCTCAGTCTAAATACTAGTATGATCAAAATTTTCAAACTGATACAAGCTGCTGACAAATGTTATACATGTAGTGTGAGAAAGATTTTTAAAAATAGCTTTTAACGTCAGATTTACACAAACTCAAAGGCCTTTATAATAAATTATATTTGTCTGAGATGATTGATACATAAAGGATCTCCCATGGTTTGTGGTTTGATATAATTTTTATCCAACGATAAGGCCAAGGCTCGGGGATAGAAAACACACAACGAGTTGGATAAAAATCATATCAAACCACAAACCATGGGAGATTCTTTTTATCACATATTTTTGTTCACTATAAATGTGTATTTTGTCATTATTTCTAATTCAAAATTCCCTTTCGGTTACCCCGGACCAAATAATGTAATAAATAATATTACGCTGTATGAAATAGTTCGTGCAAAAATAGAAGAAAGAAAGACTTTCAGCACTTATTTTTTTTAAATTCATAAATGAAGATTTGTTAAAATATATCAAATAAAGTGAAATTTGACAAAATAAGTAATTCTCTCCATCATGCACATGTATTTGTTTATTTACATTACGTCACGTGGCGTAAGAATACATAGTGTTGATAAGAAAACGATATCACATGAGCTATATCAACGGGATAAAGGTAAAAATATGTGATAAAAGTTGTTACATATGTAGGTCATTCCTTTTTATTTCAAACATAACACGACTCGTAAATAGGCACACAAACCATTTAAATTTTACTTTAGAATCTAAAATATCAGCATCGAAGCATTCTATTTCAATTCGTTACACCTGACTGCCTTATTGTCTCTGTATCTGTATCTGTATATATACGTCGAAGTGACCAATACTGGCTTTTCTACGACGGTGAGAGAGCGCGTGTCGGACTTATTGACACAAGCTGTCGAGGGCGGTCTTGAAGGCCTCGACAGTCTTAGCGCAAACTATATTGTCCTCCAGTTGGTTCCATTTGATGACTGTGTCCACAAAGAATGATGAGCGGTATTGGTTAGTTCTCGTAGATGTTGTTTCGAGACACTTGCTGTTATTTTTGACTTGAGATGAAAGAATGTTTGTATTTTCACAATTATCGAATGTTTTTAATTTGATTTGGCGTCTAGGCTTAGCTTTTTGAATGAAATTGTGAGTTGGTAGCCCTGGCACCAACCCCTCAACCACCTTATAGAGCATAATGAGTCGCAAGCTGGTCCTTCTATGCTGGAGCGGTTGTAAGTCCAGTTCCTTGGCCTTGGTGGTGATGAAGCCCTCTTCCCTGTTGTGGTAGTCTCGTTTTATGAAACGGATGGCTTTGCGTTGGACACGTTCGAGCTTATCTATGTCCTGTTTTTGAAATGGGTCCCAGACTATTGATCCATATTCAAGTGTTGATCGCACCATGGAGACGTAGGCTGTTTTCCTGCAGTTTTCTGTACAGTGTGATAAGTTTCGTCGGAGAAATCCTAATGTTGAATGAGCTTTTTTAGTAATCTTGTTGATGTGAGTTGACCACTTTAAGTCTGATGAAATTTGGAGTCCAAGATAGGGGTTATTTTCAACCTCTTCCAGCACGTGATTGTCCAGTGTATAGAATTTGCTGGTTTTTTGGCGTATGCTCATGATGTAGCATTTTTTGGCGTTGAAACGCATACCCCAGTCATTGGCCCACTTTTGCAAGTTGTGAAGGTCTTCCTGTAGTTTTTCCTGATCTCCATAGTTGTTGATTTGTCGGTATAAGAGGCAATCGTCTGCGAACAGCCGGACTTGTGATGTTACGGAGTCTGGGAGGTCGTTAATGTGGCATAAAAAGAGCAGCGGCCCGAGGACTGTGCCTTGCGGCACCCCGGACTCCACTGGCACCGCCTCTGATTTCTCGCCCTCTACTACTGTTCGCATTGTCCTTCTTGTAAGGAATGATGTTAGCCACGATAGTGTACTTCCTCTTATGCCGTACTGACTGAGTTTATGGAGTAGTTTCTGATGTGGAACAGTGTCAAAAGCTTTAGAGAAGTCCAAAATTGCCATATCTGTTTGTTTTCCTTTGTCATAATTTATCAGCAGGTCGTTCATTGTTGTTAGAAGTTGTGTCTCACAGGAGAACCCAGATCTGAAGCCATGATTAAGCGTTGTTAAAATTTTGTTTTTTTCTAGGTGTTTCAGTATGTGTCGACAGATGATATGTTCCAATAATTTGCTAGATACTGATGTTAATGACACAGGCCTGTAGTTTTCAGCTTGGTGTTTGTCGCCCTTTTTATATATACATGAGATGTTAGCATCCCGCCAGTCCGATGGGAGTTCTCCTGAGTCTAGTGATAGCTGGAAGATTGTTGCTAGACTTGGTGCCAGTTGTTCTGCACCAGGGCTCCCACTGGACCGAAAATATTTTTCGCCACTTTTCGCGACAAAAGGAAAGGCATACTTACATCTGATTTCTCGACAATGTAATGCACTTTTTGTTAGTCCTTTTTTTAATTAATAGTATGTTTATCTGACACAGACATTGTTTTAAATTTGTAATGTTTAAAGCTTTAATTATGGTTGAGTATCCATTTTAAAAAAAAAAAAAACTTATGTTGGAATTATGCAATAAATTTGATATTGAATTGATATCAGTCAACTCTTGACAGAAAATGTCCTCTTGTTTATTTTCGCCTGTGGGGGGGGGGGGGGGGGGGCAAAGACCCAGTAAAAATATGACATTTTTTAAAAATGGAAATTTTCATCATTTCATTAATCAATTGTGAAGAGAAGTAATTAAAAAGTAATGAAAATTAGGTTTTGAAAGTTGACTTTATTTTAACAACTTGGAGAGTCTCCAGGGTTTAATATGCAAGCTCATGTTATTGTAAATAATTCAGTGTAATTTACTAATTTAAGATAATTCTGTTTCCAAACCAATTTCTTTTTCACTCTTTGTCAGTTTATGGTATATTAATGTACACACTTTTCAATTTTAATTAGGTAAAATTTGAAGCCATTCTTTACAATTTTCGTCATGTTTCCCTACTTTCGGTTTAAAAAAACGATCTACATAGATCCAGATTTTGTTGATGAAAATCTTTTATTTTCTAACTTAATATCCTAATAACACTTTATACCCCCTTGTTTAATCCAAATTATATTAATTCAAGCAATTTTGTAACCCTTTATTGCTCCAGGCCAGTTACCTAGTCAGCTGTGTTCGTTCAAGCGAGACTGATTTATATACATGTAGGTTTCAGTTTTCACACCTCTGCTGCATTAAATAAACATAGGGACTTATCTGTGTACATTGAATAAACAAAGGAGCTAACCAGGACTACTCAAATCTGCACATTCCTTGAGAATCCTGTTTGGTATGTTGTCTGGCCCTGATGCTTTAGTTGGATTTACCTTGCTGAGTAATTTCCTGACTCCCTCTACATTTATTTTGATTGCCTGGATTGGATTTTTGCAGGTTTTTGATGTTTTCGGCATTGGTCCATGCTCTTCTTTGGTAAAGACAGATTGAAACTGCTTGTTAAGGACCCCTGCTTTTTCTTTACTGTCTGTTATGAGTTTGTTTCCTGATTTTAATGGAGCTATTCCAAAAGAGTCTTGCTTTTTTGATTTCACATACTTCCAGAATGGTTTCGTGTTGTTGTTGTTTAGGCCTTCCAAGATGTTGTTGTTTACATAGTTCCATTCTGATTTCCTGAGTTTAGATTTGCATTCCTTCTGAAATTGTCTATAGTTTGTCCAGTTCTTTGTCTTCTTTGCTTGGTTGTACAGTCTTTGTTTTTTCTTGAGGAGTTTCCTTTCTCTGTGTGTGATCCAGGGGGTGGAGTGTCTAGACTTAAGCTCCCTTGCTGGTATATGTTTGTCTAGAATTTTATGTATACTGGATTTGAAGAACTCCCAGATGTCTTGTATGTTTTTCCCTTCTGACTGCAGCTTGCTGATGTTATTTGCCAGATTTCTTAATGACGCTTTCAAGTTTTCCCAATTTGCTTTTGAGTAGATATATATTTTTCTGCTTGCTGTTTTTTGGTAATGTGGCTTAGTTTCTAGATCTGTGATGACAATGTCATGGTCCGAGATTCCTGGTACACTTACTGAAGATTTGATGACGGAAGGATTTGCAGTGAAAACTAGGTCTAGTAAGTTGTCTCCCCTTGTTGGTTGGTCATGGATTTGTGAAAGGCCGGAGGAATTTGCAATATCTATTAGTTGTTGTTGAATGTCCCTGTCATTTCCATTTTTGATTGACATGTTGTTCCATTCGATGTCTGGACAATTAAAATCCCCAGCTAGGATGATGTTTTTCTTTGATGTTGAGACTGAGGCTTTTTCTAGTGATATGGATAGTTCGTCAAGATCCTTTTTATTTCTTTGAGGCATATAAAATGATGATATGAGCATGTCTTTATTTTTGTCGGTTTTTATTTTAACCCATTCTATCTCGCAATTTGTTATTAGGTCGGTTTGTTCTTCTGAAACTATGCTTTTTCCACTAATATAAATACACCTCCGCCGAGTGTCCCTCTATCGTTCCTGTAAACGTTGTAGTTGGGTGGAAATACTTCACTTGATTTGATGGTGTCATGTGAGGGTTTTTTTTCCTGGTTTGATGCCTTTGAGCCACGATTCAGTCCCACATATGACGTCTGGTTTGAGGTAGTCAATTGCCAGTGTTAGTTCTTGACTTTTATCTTTGATACTACGGCAGTTGACTGTCATGATTCTGATGTTTTGTTTTTTAGGAACCGAGTATGGGTTTCCCTCCACAGATGTTATTGAGGGCTTGGAATTCCTACATGATCTACTTTGTGATGACTGATCTCGGATTTTTGGGCTGCTAGTCTTAAGTGGGCTAAATATATCAGTTCTGGTGGATTCCATACTACAATCGATGTTAGATAATGGTTCATAGATGTTTGAAAGATTGATCTCGTAACTACGGAAGGTGAAAGTCGTTACGTTTATACTGTCACATTTGCAACATAACCATTGTACGTTAGATATTTCTAATAGCTCATAGTCATATGTACAAAGTTCAATGCATGATTGATGGTGCCAGATGTTACATCCATCGCAACACACTCCTTTACAATTCCATGTGACCGGGTGTTCACATAATCCGCAAGGGTAGATTGATTTTTGTGAAGTTCTAGGTCCTGGGTTCGGTTCTACGTCTCCCGACATAAGAATGACGAGCAGGAAAATTACTTTGCTCTTTCCCGTAGTTAGCGGCAGGTTGAGTGGTCTCCTGCCTGTACTCAGCATTTTTGGGTTCAAGGTGGCATGAAGTATTTGCTGGTGATTCCACGTCCAGTTGTTCCAATTTGGTATACCTAACATCAGAACAAAGGTCAATAAAGTCAAAGCATTCATGGTAGGTTTAGCGCGGTAATCCACACTGACCTGAACAGTATAGCGCGGTATCCCACACTGACTGATATGAATGCCCCAGCTTCTATCTTTGTGCTAATGTGAGGTGACCTCAGTGTGTTGGTTGTTAGTTTTGCCAGCAATCTCTCTTAGTTTGGTCCGAGATCTTTTTCAGCCAAACCTTTGCTACGAGTTTCCCTGGGTGGATGCCGTCTGCTAGTAGATTGAAGTTGTAATATTTCCTTCGTTTTGATGTCCTTTCGCTACCACTCTTGACTTTAGATGTTTTATAAATGTCTGATGTGAAGGATGGTGAGTGGTTTCCTAGGCTTGCATTGATTGTGCGGATTCTGGTGTTCAGTTTTAGGATTTGTTCCTCAAGTTTGGTATCCTGGTCTTCAAAGGCAGATGGGTTTTTGTGTCCTTTGTTTTGATTCCAACATTTGATGGAGTATAGTGGAATTTCCAGTATGGTGATTTTAGATCCAGGGTATTTATCTACAATTTTGATGATTTCCTTGTAGTACTTCTCTATTCTGAGTTTTTCCTCGTCTGTTTCCGACTTTAGGCTGATGTATTTCTTGTTCTTTGTTGTCAGGTTACATGTACCGAGCCATACGTACAACCAAACGTCTCCAAGTTGGATGATTTTCCTTGCTATGTTTGTTCTGAGCCAACGAGTACTATCCTCAATTTTTGCGCCGCTTTTTGACCACCAAACCAATTCTCCATCGGCTTCATTTGTGATTTCTCTTTGGAGAAATTTCCCTTTACTGTCTGAGAGAATAACTGGTTGTTGGAGGCGCTTTCCTGACGTTGCGGGGGTGGGCTTACTCAGAAACTTTTCGAGCTTGCTTTCGGTCATTGGTCAGAGGAATTTCTAGAGACAAAATGGCGGCTTCCTATATGCGACTGATAGGTGGTGTATTGGGGCTGGGATTTAGACTTACCAACCACTTAAAATACTACATACCGCGATTTTAATCTGTCCTATGCTAAATTACTTTTTTGTTGTCACGGGTATCTGCGTTTATCTACATTTATTTGTTTTTTTTGTATAATGCAGTGACTTGTGCAACTGTTGTAAGCTTCTTTGGTATCTTACTCTCCTGTCCAAGAAGAACTACACCGTTATTTTTTGTCGCTACGGTGTGCTGTATAGAATACGTCGCTTTACACCAGTGACGATTAGTTACACCGAACAGTGACTAAGTCAGCGACCTTTCATAGGCCGTCCAGATATAGTAAGATCAATCGAATATGGCTGTCAAATTCCTTTCACGAATCGTATTCAGCTTAAATTTGACTTCAGAATACTTCTTAACTGCTCGATACATAGGGTTCATGGTGAATACTGACTGGTCAACATGGGACTGATCCAACCTCTAACGTTTTTTAGGGGTCAGTATTTTTAGCACAGTTTACCATTTGTTTTGTTTACTTTATTTATGAGATTGATCTCTGTTTGTCCCATTTTATAATTAAGAGATACACGAAATTATGTGATATTGGAACTCTCGTAACATAAACTTTACATATCAGTAGCTTGCTTAAAAAGTGTGTATTTTTCAACAACACTTTATATTGTAACTTCGCACAAACACAAGACTTCTTCAAAATTCATATAACAGATCTTAAACTAGCGTCCGGTAATAACTCTCTGATTGAAAGAAAATCTCAGGGTCTAAGGTTTTCTTTTGCTTTTTAAACATATGTATTTGTATATAAGTTACACGTTTTAATGAGGTCTATATGTCATGAAAAAATATGTAAAAGTTACTAATAAAAAATTCAAGGTCAATTTGAAAAATGCAAATAAAGATCTGAACACCCCAAATACATTTACTAGTAAATTAAATTCAGAGAAGATACTACAGTTTAACTTTACCTAGTTCTCTTCACAACTAGCCATTATTACAATTATTGCATTATGCACTACGATAAAAAGAGATGACAATTTAAAACAATTTTGGAATAAATTTTCGGTATATATTTTATCTTAAGAATCCATGTACGTTCTACACTTTCTTTAAAAAATGAAGCTTAGATAGTTTTGATAAAATTTGATAAAGCATTCACCACAATATTGTACTTTTATTTCACTTAACAACCTCTTGATAGAAAAAACAACAATTTTATCTATATGAAAGAAATTGTAAGTCGTAATCTACGGAAGTCCATTTAACCCTAACCATATTATTGAATTCGTTATAACGATTTTTAGAATTCGTTATAACGAATTTTATTTGTTATAACAGATTTATTGAATTCGTTATAACGAATTTAATTTGTTATTACAGATTTGTTGAATTCGTTATACTAGTAACCAATTCAAAAATTCGTTAAAACAATTCAATAAATCTGTTATAACAAATAAAATTCGTTATAACGAATTCAATAAATCTGTTATTACAAATTAAATTCGTTATAACGAATTCAATATTATTTTTTGATAGGTCCTAAATGGGCTTCCGTAGTAATCTATATTCAATTTCAAAAATAAGAAAAAATTAAGTACTTTTCTCTGAAACATTTATTATCTAAACATTGATTATGTACAAAATCTTAGAAAAAGGCGATGAAAAAGTCTAGTATAATTAATTTGCATGTAACACAAATAAGGATAGAAACATATTTTTTTCATACAATTTCAAGGTCATATGAAACCATATTCCGCAGAAAATAGTTTTTAAAAGCAGATTTCTTAGGTTTTGTTGATTTTTTTTTTGTTCAATAAATTAATTTGATACATGGTAAAAATTAAAAGAATAACGAATGGAGGATATAAAACATGGATGTCTGGAAATTCCAGAGGTAAGATTTTTTGCTAAGAACATATCGACAAAGTATTATCAATTAACGATACTGTAGTTACTTCTGTTACCTCTAATCATATGTCGACTTGATATACCCCATGAGAACTTAGAATAAAGGACACTACAGAGTCTTACACATCATACTTGGATTAGGACAGCACTTTGTGATAAACGTAAGAACTTCAACTTTTCAATCATTAACTTCCCTGACCTTTATATAATCACATTTCTATGGAGTTTATGTGTCTCAATGGATTCAATATGCAATAGCATGTCCTACCTACGAACAATTTCTTAAACGAGGCAAGGTATTGACAAACCAGTTGTTGAAAAAAAATTAATCTTCTCGTTTTTCTCATTTTGCAATTTAGTAGATCCAATGGTCAGCAAATACAATTACCCATCATTTTGTCATATGCTGACTTATCATACTAATTCTTGTTATTTACTCACTGAATTGTCTACTTTTTTCCCCGATCATGACAAGGACCACGGTCGGCAAGGGATGCATGCGCACTCTTCCGTGGCTCTGATCCCCACCTGATGTTTTAAAGCTCCTAAATGGACACTGAGCTTGATGACTGTTCATTATCTGTATTGTTATTCCATTTTAAAAATGATTTTGCAAATAATATCAATATTATTTATATATACCGTTACATAAAAGAAAAAAAATATAAAAGGTTGGTTTGATGGAAATTCTTGTTTATAATATGTATTTTAGCATCTATAATTTTCAATTTGTTTTCCACTTTCTTTAATATATTTTTAAAGCATCATATGTCCCTGACTTATAGATAATTTAATTCAACTCTTATGCACAATCGCTCTTTTAATCAAAGAGTTACTTGATAATTTAATATATTTAATCAAATTTTAAAATAACAAAATAAACAGCACACTTTAATGCAACTGTTATACAATGTTTAACTTCATACAAAGGTTGATTTTACTAGGGTTTCAAAGTACTTAAATCACATTTCATCCACCACATGAAGCGCACAATTTAATGTCAGATTTGTCAAACCTTCCACCAGTGCATCATGCAGGAAAATATACTGGTCCTGAAACAGGAACAGGATGAATTAAACTCTTGTTATATAATGTATATCATTAGTTTAAAATATATCTTATTTATTAGTGTATATCATTATCAGAAAAAATAAGTGTACTAAAACATATTCCGATTATACTGATTCAAAAACAAGAATACAGTATAATTAGGTAAAAATGAGTAAACTTTTGTCCTTTAGATATGCGGTAAAGAATACTACTTGATCATTTTAATCTTGAAGAAACTTTGCGGTTTTAAATTCAGAACTGTTTATCATTACCAATATTTTTTTTAAAAGATAGAAATGAAATCTGAACCTACAACGGACTGGATGGAGAAAGCTCTTTGTTGTCTCAGGTTGATGACGCAGTTCTTGACGTCAACACTTCCCTCCTTAAATCCCTTCTCTAGGAGGTAGTCCAGGGCGATAAATGACCCAGTGCGACCAATACCCGCACTACGTTAAAGTATTATAAAGAAATTAAAATTAAAGTGTTACTAACGATAAATCAGAAAGAGGTATAAGGCTAACAATGACAGTGTATTTCAGAGCAAGAATGGACTTGTTTTCACAAAAGTGTCTCTGAAAGTGTTTAGTTTTCCTGTTTTTTTTTTTTTTACTGAGCATTTGTTTCCTGTTTTTGACAGCATTGAATACTTTGACATGAAAGGACGAGCTCAAAATAGTAATTATCATGGACATAAAAAGGCAAAATTTAAAAAAATCATTTTTTTTTACCTTCCATGTACAATTATTGGTCCTTCGTTGGGACTTATTGAATTTTTAGAGATGTTTCGAAAACAAAGAAGCGCCTCGAGGTTATGTGGGACTTTTGTATCAGGCCAGACTGTAAACTGGTACTGTGTCACCCGCCTGGTCTCTTCCCCCTGAAATGTTTAATTTGGAGGAATACTTTTTGCTCACTATTGGTTATATTGCTAAAAATTTTTAAAGTTCGCTAATTTGAAATACAATTATTTTAAATTGTTTTTAATAGATATTTTCTTATACGTCCTAAAATCACCAATCACTCTAATCTTCTGTGTAGTATTCCAACACTCTTAAAAATGTTTTACTTAGTAGTCATTTTTTACTTGAAATAACAAAGATAAGTAATAGATAATTACTAAGCATTTACTTAAAATTTTAAATCAATTACTGAAATATATGTCAATTACTAGATTCAAATGTTTTACTTGATTTTTGTATTTTAAAGAATTGTTTTACTTACACACTAAAAAGTTTTACTTAGTAATTTATATTTACTTAAATTTGTGTATATAAGTAATAACATTACTTGGTCTTTACTTACATTTTACCACTATTTACTATATAATTAATATTTTAATGCCCCCGTAAACGAAGTTTCGGGCGTATATAGTTTTTGTCGTGTCCGTCTGTCTGTCTAGCTGTCTGTCTAGCTGTCTGTCTAGCTGTCTGTCTAGCTGTCTCTCTGTTTGTCTGTTTATCCACAGAAACTTTAACCTTGCCCATAACTTTTGATTTAGCGGAGCTATGACTTTCATATTTCACACGTGTATTCCTTGTGACAAGACCTTTCTTTGAGTATCACCAAATTTGACCTTGACCTTGAAGTTTGACTCACTTATACACAAAAAATCCAAACTTATTCTTTATCCAAATCTTTTGAACAGTAAATACCAGGACATGTATACTTCACATATATATTTTTTGTTGAAAGAACTTTCATTGAATACCAACAACTATGAAATTTTGACCTTGACCTTGGAGATTTCCATCCTTGTGAAAAAAAAAATTAACCTTGACCATAACGTTTGAACGGTAAGGAATAGTGCTTTCATACTTACATATATGTAATCATTTTGAGAAGACCATTCATAGGATACCAAGAACTTTGACCCTTTGACCTTGACCTTGGAGTTTGACCCACTTTTAAAAAGCAAACCTTGACTGTAACTTTAAAAGGATTAGGGTTAGTGCATTCATACTTTACATAGTTTATCCTTGTGACAAGACCTTTCTTTGGGTACCACCAAATCTGTCCCTTTGTCTTTGACCTTGGCGTTTGACCTACATTTCAAAATTGGTAACCTTGACCATAACTTCTGAAGGGTTAAGGCAAGTGTTTCCATATTTCACATATGTATTTTTTTTGGCAAGACCTTTCATTAGATACCTATAACCTTGACCTTTTGACCTTGGAGATATCAAGAAATCCCAATAATTTAAATTTGTATATAAGAAAAGTTTAACCTTTGAAATGTTGCCATACAGGGGCATAGGTGTTTCACAAACACATCTTGTTTGAATTGTATTTAATTGATTTACTTAAAACAAAAATTTATTTACTAAATCTAGGAGAATTCAGATCAGTAATTACTTAGATATGGTAGTGTAATCACTGATTGTCTGTGTGGAGGAGTTATCTTTCTTCTAAATATTCCTTCATGTGAAAAAAAAAGTCACACTAATAAAAATGCGATATTAAGTACTTGAAATGTTTAACCATTTTTAAAATGGTCCTTAAAAAGATACAACTTATTCAATTTTTAAGGCTTTCGAAGTTGGAATCAAATGTTTTATTGTTATATACAATAAAACAATTACAAAGAAATTGGCAAAAGAAATAGAAAGTATAATTGTTTCCATCATGAGTAGATTTCTTCTATTAAACTATTCAGAGGGCCCAATTAGGGAACTCTGATAAAGAAATCTGTGAGTAGTACTCACATGTCAGATCGGTACCTTGCATTGTTTCTGGTAAATAATGTCGATTTTAGTAAATATGATAAGTATTTCATTTACTTAGTATTCTTTTGAGTAATAATATTCTAGATTTTAATTAATTTCAGAATTACATTTACTTAGTAATAATTCATAAAATTTAGTAAATAGAAAGCATATTATCTCTAAATTAAGTAATAATAATTTAACAAAAATGAGTAGTTCATTTACTAACTTTAAGTAATACAATTCCTATAATTTAAGTAATTCTATTGATACTTAGTAAATCATTTTATAAGTAAATGAATTCATCCTTATTACTAATTATGTTTACAATTACTAACCATGATAGTCATTTACTTGCTATTCTGACTAAATGGATTACTAATAATTACTAGTTTTTCTTAATCTAATATCTTATTTTAAAAACAACAAGTAAAACTTTTTTTAGAGTGAAGCAGTGCGATAGGTCAATTATGTTACAGCATATATGAAATACAGGAAATAAAATTCAGTTTTTGCACTTTAAACTTGATCTTTAAGTGTATATCTGATACAAAGAGGAAACATTTATTTTCATGAAGTGGTACCAGTTTGTTCTTGAACTGGACTCATTTGAGTTTGGCACCACTTCAACATTCAGTCAGATTCACATATACACTTTCCGGGTATTTACGTGTGAAATCATCAAATACACTCTGACGTGTTTGAACATTAAAGGAGATCGCACTTGTTCTCACTATTATTTCCTCTATTTTAGGATAAATTTCAGAAAAATAATTTAAGAGAAGGATGTTTTTCTCGGATGGTTTGACACGCCTGTCTAGGAGAATTTACAAAACATTTATGTAGGAAAAACATTTCAATACTCATTTGCAAACTGAACAAAAGTACTGCTATTTTAGTTTTTAAGAATTTTAAAACACTAATCTGTGAGAATTAGTTTAATTAAATACATGTAACTATTAAGGGGGTATATCAGTAGTATATTTCTTTATCAGTTTCATATTAAAGAGAAACATTTTTTACATAATTGTTTTCTACACTTACCATTCTAACAATAAATTTTCGTATTGTAAATTTATCCATGCTATCTTCCTTTTGGACAATTATTGAGAAAGGTCCAAATTCCCCTGCGTTTCCCGGCCAATATTGCATACATTTTTCCTATGGGAAAAATCGATGAAAAAAAGTGGAAATACAATTATTCAGTAATTTTTTTTCGATTCAACAAAACAATTTCAGAAAATGACTTTTCTAGCAGGAAATAAAAAATGCATTTTTCAGTGTTCATTACACATTCAAAGTGAAAAAAGAAAATCAGCTTAACCTCTTTACATGATCAATGACTTTTTTTCTAATATTTTGAATAAGTTGACTGTATTTCAACATGATGATGAGGTAAATTTCTCCTACCGCATTTCCTTCTGTTAATCGTGTAAGCATTACAATTCTCTTGCTCTGCGTTTGCCAGACCATTCTCCAGAAATCCACAATGGTCTGCGGAGTAAACGGTCCTAAAACAAACAGGTTTATATATTAAAAAATAATATTGTAAATTACTATATAGTATAGAAAAGCATGAACCCCTGTTGACTGCAATGCATCATTGAGTTCGAAGCTTTAATTAGTTTATATAAATTACATAACTATTATTTTTAAACAAATGAAACATGAACGTCCATAAAACAATACAAAATAGGAGCAGAGCAAACACGCACCTTCAAAACATCAGAGATGGGATAAAGTGCCATAAAACTTATTTTGAAATTAAAATTACGACATTGACAAAAAAATCTATAGATTATAGCATTACTGAAAATCTATGAATTAGAAATTTTATTTCTGCATATTTTTATATACATGTACTTGCATACCTTAAAATTGAATAAAATGTGTTTGATTCTGAACATTTTAAGGTTTGAATATTAATATTTTATGCTCAAGCAGAAAAAAAGCAGATCTCTGGTCTCTTGTCCCGACACCTCTGATCGAGAGAGATGTACATCATAGGTACATTACCTTGTGCTGCAATGTAGGCGTTTTCCTTGTAAACTCCCTGTAAGTGGAAAGGAGAAATTTAATTGCATCTTAAACTAGCTAGATTTTCTAAATAAAAGCTAGATAGTTACCCCGAAATAAAAATGAAAATAACTGTATATTTACATGTAGACTCACATTAACATAACTGGCATTGATGTAATTCCCAGGAAAAAGACTTCCAATAGGTTCCAATATTACTCTGTTTGCATCATCTGAATAAAAAAAAACACAGTTAATGAAATGAATTAGGATTTATTGAATTTTATATAAATAAATTGATGTATCGTTCTTATAAGAAAACAAAAAATCTCACAAGGATATATCTTTTTGAATCTGTTTTTCGTACTATTTTCCATTTTCAAAGCTTCTGTGTGCAAATTCATAAGGCCATTCGGCAGAATCTGTAAGTGTAATATTTTAACATTTAAAATTATAATGACGAGGAATATATCTTGTCATATTTGGTGAATGTTAATTATCTCATTTTCCTTAGGTTTCTTTTTTTTTATTTTGATAAAAATAGGAAAGTAAAAATTTGTAGACATAGTGAAAATGAACTTTTCTTCTCTCTTTTGATCTCTCACTTGAGAGACGTGTGTTAAAAATGTATCATTCTTTGTCAGTAACCTTGAATTCTGAACGGAATTCATTGGCCATCATCTTTTGGTGGGTGTCTTTGACAAACTGCTCTATGGACAAACTTTTAGTTTTGATGTTACTGAAGGTCACTACGACTTGTACTACACCATCGTACGGGTCGTCTAGGTAGTGGCTATTTCCCTCGGGTTCTAATATTACACGGCTTCTGTTCAGTGTGTTACGTGTCATCATTGCCTGTTCGGATAGATTTAGGGCTGGTGTTCTTGTATGTTTGAAGAATGAAAAGGACTTAGAACATAAAAAACGTCTACCAAATCTGGAAGAAATATAGAATTATTAAAATATTTGCATATAGAAATAAAGTTACCAAATTCAAATTTTAATTTTAATTCTGTTTGTTGAAAATTACTTTTTCAGAAGAAAGGGTGAGGCTAATACGGCGATAAATCCAATAGGAAACAACACCCAAAAGAGTATTTTCCCTACGTCCGTTCTCACTTGATCTGTGAAAAGATGGTCAATGCTTTTTATTCAAATTATATAACTATAAATACTGATACTGACTCTGTTGAATACATCTCCATGAAAAATAGCAGAAAAAATCAGCAAATTATTGTTATATATTTTTTATGCATAATTTTTACCTGAGCAATTTTCTCCAAAATGACCGTCTTTACATGTCCGACACGTGCCGTTGTTTATATAACATGCATCACAGTTAGGAGGACACTGATACTGACAAAATTGACCATATCTGGAAACTTTACATCGGGTGCATTCTTGATACAAAATATTACACTCGGTGCATGCTAAGGAACAGTTCGTACAGGTACAATTTTCTGAAACGTTAGATATATAAAATGAAAGTTAAATTAACATGTACATGTATATTGCATTTTGGTTGTATAGGTAATGAAAATTAATTATCATCGTATAAGAAGATAATCAATTATAAGCGCATTTTAAACTCACTTCCTGAACGAACAATGATCAATCTCATGATATACATGTCAGTATAAGAAAATTATAAAGATAATATTTAATGGATAACTGGCCCCAAGACCATAAAATGAGATAAGATGTAAGTAAACAAATGATTTTGAATATCTTGAGTTTTAATTAATGTATTTGCCTAAAAATTGCATTCTCTTTTAACATTTAAAATCAGACATCCCACTTCTAGTGTTCCGTAGGTTTGTGTTTGCTCTGCTCCTGTTTTGTATTGTTTTATGGACTTAATTTTGATCTTGAATACTGTTCGTTATCCCCATGTTTCATGACGAGAATTTAATTTAATTTCAAAATTAATTCAAACGTTTTATCGGTTTGAAATTTAGACTTAAGTCTTTTCTAAGTTTATGGTCTTGGAGCCCGATATGGCCATGCTCTGTTTGCCATAAATGAAAAAGAAAGGTCGGATTTGTATGGTCATTTCTTAATTACTATTAATTATTAAATGAAAAAGTAACTTAAATATATGTAAATGCATAGTATATCTGACATACCAAATTATAAATTTAACAAATTATATAATGTCTACAAAACCATGCAGTGTATATCAATTTAAAAAGCGGAAATTAACTATGTTTTGAAGTTACGCATGGTACACAAAATGTTCTCGAACCATTACTCAATCTAAAGGCTCGTCCATTAAAGTCTTACTATAACATTCTTCTGTTTACCTTAAAGTTTTTTTTCTTTTATTGGGTATAGTATTCCTACCAGTACATAAAAATCTAATCTTAATATCTAAACCAGTGCACTTTAAATAATATCCTATTTGAAATTTACATTTTCATTAACTCACTAGAAAATTGACATTGGTTTCCATGGAACCCATCTTTACATCTCGAACACTCTCCAGGAAGCTCATCACATGATCCAGGTATACATCCGGGAGAACACTGACGTTCACACCAGACCCCGTAATGTGATCCGTCACAAGATCTACAGCTGCTGTTTGGAGAACACTTTGTACAGGGAATGCCAAGCTTGTTAGACTCACATACTGCAAGTCATATTGAATAACTTCTCAGGAAGATATATGGTTTAACTTTTCTATATAAAATGTTTTATTTTCAACCCTTTTGAGTTTTTACAGAAATTAATCTTTCTCAAAAGGAGTTTGTGATTGATATTTATATTTCAAAATGAATGATACAGTTAAAATATTCATACCCTTTAATTTAAAGTCACAAAGTTTCAGAATTCCAAAACTTGTCTTCTTAACGATAATTACATCTCCGTGTAGGTCAGGTTTACATGTGATATTGACATTGTGTGAAGAAAATTCAAAGGGCAATTGTATATGACCACAGTCTTGTCGAATGGAAGTATTCGAAGCATTTTGAACTTCTATTGAGTATCTACCTAAAGGATTTGAAACCCAACAATAATTATTGATAAATTAAAAATAAGAAATTACAATGTAATATGTTCAGATAAATATCTATTACTTGCCTCCATTTAACCGAAGATAGACACCGGCAATAGTCAGGGACTGGTTAAACTGTATCCTCCAATACTCTCCAATGTCCTTATTTGTCACGGCACAAGTTCTGTTGTCATCATCAATGGGACTATGAGCTCCATTGTAGGCCAAAGGAACACTGCTTTGTGAGACTTTATATCCAACAAAAGAACATACCCCTGAAATTCACGTGTTTTAAAGAACTTTTCAATACGTAAATCTTTTTTATAAAAATGAAACAAAAGACACTGACTTCAAAATCCATTTGACAAAATGTTGCTCATTCAAATCTTCATTGAATTTCACGACATATATAGGTATTATAGAAAAATTCAATTCGACATTTAGATACCGGGATACGCTTAATTGACGACGGATTTTTCCGTTATTTCCCGATCATGACAAGGAGCAGGTGACCGGTCAGCAGGGGATGGTAACTCCTCTATGGCACCTGATCCCACCTCTGACGTTTTCGAGGTCGATTTTTGCTTTACTCCTGTTTTGTATTATTTATGGACTTTTGATCTTGAATACTGTTAGTTATCTCCATATGTTTCATAAAGAATTTTTTAGTAGTTAAAAAAATTATAAAGTGTAATTACCTTTAGAATTAATGATGAACAAGAACAGTATCAGTGTGAATTTTGAGATTATCTGGCCGTTGTACAGAGTTCCAGACATTTTCCTCTTTGTTTGATTCAAATGATCTGAATATTATGTATTTATTTCTTTGAGTACCACATGTTCCTGTCTAACCCGGAAATATTTATGGATTATTTTTAATTCACTTCAAACATAAACAAAATTTTAAACACAAAGTAGGTGACACTGATAAAATTTTTGTGTCACCGATTTGAATGGCAAAAGATAGCAATTCTGAATTCTCAGAAAAAAGAAAAAAGTGCTTTTTCAATTAAAATGGAACTATTCAGTTTACTTACTTTATCATTGGTCGATTGCATTATTAATTTGTTAAAAACAATCTGACTGTACACACAAGTACTCTGAAGTTGATAGTACTCATATTGAGACGTGTGAAGGAAGGGCTTCAAAGTTTGACCTTTACTCGGCACTTACGACCATTGAGCAGTGTGGGTTCTTTATCGTGTGCCAACGTTTACCTTGACACAAGGCCTCGGTTTTTAAGGTCTTATCCGAAGGACCCACAACTTTACTTCAAGCTGCCGAGCTTATGGCGAAGGAATACAGTATCGACTAGACCAAACCTGACACCCAAGCAGTCACATAAAGCAGTCCCCGGGACTGCTTTGGGACCGCTGTGGGGCTGCTGTGGGACTGTTCTGGGACTGCTTTAGCAGTTCCAGAAAGCAGTCCCCGGGACAGCTCTGGGACTGCTTTGTGTCAGGTTGGGTCTGGTCGATACTGTAATTGCTTATTAAAATTATCGATTTAATTTATTCACGGCCGAGATTCGAACTCATTACCTTCGGAACACGGAGCGAACGCTCTACCGACTGAGCTACCTTGACGGTCGCAAAAAGAAGAAAATACACTTGCTGTGACTTTAAACTGAACATTTAGATATATTGATGACGTATTTTCAATTAATAATTGTTATTTCCATTCTGAAGTCGACACGATAAATCCCGGTTAGCTTGAAATAAAAGAAAGCACAGTGTCTGACACATCATTTCATATTTGGATATTTATTAGTAAAAGGCGTTGATGGCAATCTCAAAATATAGCTATATAATGGACATGATGACTTTAACTTTTCAAACGACAGCTTCCCTTATTGTGCCTCAATACACTTCATCTCTCAGTTGATTCGATACGAAAATGTTTTAAAACGGGGTAAGTTATTGACAACGAAGTTGATGAACGATCTTGTTTAATGTCATCATTTCGCAACTTCTAGGTGATACACTGACCTTGTCAGAAAATACAGTCTAGTATTAAGACAAATGATGACTGACATTTCTATACTAATTGTGAGGCCATTATTAACACACTGAATTGTTTTTCGTTATTACCTTATCATGACAAAGAGCACACGGCGGGTGTGACCAGTCAGCATGGCATGCTCACTAAGTCATAGCACCTGATCCCACCTCTCATAATGTAGAGGCCGTCTTTGCTCTGCTCCTTATTTGTAATGTTAAATGGGCTTTTAAGAGCTCGGTTCATTTTATGCATAAAACGGCCCTGTAGATATACTAATTTATCGACTAACACTTTATGTTCCATTTTAGATATCAAAATAAAGTAGAGACTTAGTCCTTTAATTACCTATTAAAATTTTTCTCCTTAAACTCCAGGTCTTTGAACAATGGCTTTATGGAATTGCAATGTTCTTGAATTTTAACAGGTATTTTGGAGTATATTCAGAGAAGAAAAATAACGTGAGCGCACCCTCTGATCTAAAAAATAAACATGTCTTGTAATTCTCAGAAACAGTTCTATCATTTACTGATTGTTTATCTTAGATCAGAGGTCGTGCTCTATATTAAATATTGAAAAATAGCTTTAATGAAAAAGAAATTTATAAAGCAATTATGCCATTAAATCACATGGGGAAGACGGGATAACTTCAAATTTTTAATTTCGCAACTCGAACATGATTACGTGGATAATTCTGGAATGGAACACAAAGAACTTGTACATAATTTACATCGAACATTGATTGATTTATTCGAATATTGATTTGCTTAACATGAGCATACTACAATACATTGATTTTAATGAATTGGTTTGTTGAATATTGATTGAACATTGATTGATTTAATTGAATATTATTGATCAAATTGAGCATTCATTGATTGAATTGAACATTAATTGATCGAATTGAAAATTGATTGATGAATATTGATTGATGGATAAGGCTGACGCACCTGCTGTAAAACTTTGACATGTGTACAGTTTATATTGATACTTTACAATATCAAGATCAGCTAGACAAGGGTTTCTCATAGCTCTCTTGCTTTATGTATAACAAATAGAACCATTGGTTTGTGCTTTACGCCAAAATTCAAAAATTAAAGGTATACATATTCCTGACAATACTCAGTATATGAATGCAAAATCAATATGTTTGCTGATGATACACAGTTGTTCAATAAAGACGGAAAATCTATAGAAGAATCCTTTATATGAAAAAGCATCAGGCGCAAAAATTAATTTTGCTAAAACAAAGGGCTTATACATTGGAAAATCAAAAGGTAAAAAACCTAAATTTAATAAAATTCAATGGACCACAACAAATGTTAAAACGTTAGGTGTGAACCACGGATATGATATTGACATTAAAGCTATATGGATGGAAAAAATAGAGAAAAAAAAATAACCAATTGCCTTCATGTTTGGTCAACTAGAAATTTGTCATTTAAAGGAAAAACATTAATAATTAAAAACCTTGTAATTCCTATATTGGATATAAAATTGAGATGAGAGGCATACCAAATATTTACAGCAAAAAGACATTTTCAGTTTGGTGAACTTCTACAGCTGTCTGCGACTATGGATAAAGAATTTTTGGAAACCATGTTGTACCAAAATGAAACCACTAAAACAAACAAATGATATAATCTAATCACTTAAAAAGGTTATTAGACACATTCGATTCTTCATTTTTAATGGTTCAAAACAAAAAAAAAAGTATTCCATATAATATCATGTAACATCTGCGCAAATACCAAAAACTCAATACTACTCAATGATATAAAATATATTCTTTATATACCCCGGTATGAACCAAGTATTTCTGACCCTCTTGAAAATAATATAATAATCTTGCAAGTAGGTTATCAATATTGGAATTGGCTAGTTCGAAAGAGAAATTTGGAGGCCTCATAAATTTTTCATTTCACATGCTGAATACTATCATTTAGTAAAAAAAAAAGTATTTCGAAAAAAAAAAAGAAAATGGATCATCCGGGATTCGAACCCGGGACCTCTCACATGTGAAGCAAGAGACATACCACTGCACCACGGAACCGCTTGAAACTAACAAAAATTATATGCAAATATGAAGTCACATACATGTATATATTCACGTTCGATATTGTCAAAATTTTACACAATGCATGGTGTCTAATTTAACCTTCATTAAACAGTTCTAATAGATGTAATAATAATATAAAGTTCGCCGAGAACCTGTATTATACGTAATAACTCTCCTCATACCCCTGTGCTAAAAATAGCGACATGTAATAAATAAAGAGTAATAAAACAAATGGGTGGGGTGGGGGGTTGGGGGGCTTTGAGAGGGGTGAGAGAGGTCCTAGGGAGTTTTGGTATAAAATTACATTGCAAGAGCTCAAAATCTTCTTGAAATATCGCCCGGAAAGAATAGTGTTACATACAGACAGAATGTATTAATTTACGACCTTGAACTTTGACATTTTGACCTCAAAATCAATAGGGGTCTTCCTTAGGCCACAGGGAGTTGATATGTAAAATGTCATTGCAAAAGCTCAAAGGGTTCATGAGATATCGCACGGAAACGAAAGTGTTATAACAGACAGTATTTGCGAATTTATGACCTTGACCTTTGACCTTTTGACCTCAAAATCAGTAGGGTTCTTCTTTAGTCCATAGAGTGTTGCTATGCAAAATTTCATTGCAAAAGCTCAAAGGGTTCTCGAGATATCGCGTGGAAACGAAAGCGTTACAGACAGACAGAAAGACGGACGGACGGACGGACGGACAGACGGACAGACCCAAATTAATATCCCCCACTTTTCAAGCGGGGGACAAAAAATAGTAAAAAAAAAAAACCACGTGTGATGCTAAAAGCTGGTGTGAGCTTTACTCTGAAAATTGAAATGCATTCCACAAAATTTTCGAGATGTTAGCTAGAATGACATATCAAATTCATGGTTTTATGAACCTAAATGGGGGCAGTGGTGCAGCCCCCTTCCTTATATAATAATGCAATATAAAATAAATAATAGAAACTAAAGCATCAGGAAATCACAAATTTTTGTGGGGTTTAATTTTCGATGTTTTCGAGGTATGAAGAGACCAACGAATTCAT